ACCATCCCTCAGGGATGTCACCGCTAGTGTCCACCAGACATGAGCATGGATGGTAATTGAGTCCAGCCCCAGGCCTGTGGTCACAGCTGGCCTGCAATGCAGATCCAGGGTAGACACCACTCAACTGCCCAGTTGGCAGTGAACTTCTGACTATAAAGAACCGCTGCTCTCTTTCCATACACACCCGGAGGGTACAACGAGGTCACTGCAGATGTTGTTAGCTGAATATATCATCAAGGACCAGGCTTAAAGGGCTCCACTCCCCAGATGGAAAATTTGGGGTGTTTGGAGTCTAGGGGCTGCTGGCAACCACTGGCTCGCTGTTCAGATCCCTGGGTTACACAGGGAATTCATGAAATACCCCAAGAAAAGAAAAGCACTGTAGGGAATACAGGGGCAGCAGGGGGTGCTGCACCATTGCATGCATGACCAGTCGTCCTTCAGGTTTCCACTTCCCTGTCCCCTCTTCGATGAGACCTTTCCTAATCCCTGAGTCTCAGCCACCCCCAATGTGCCACTTCCTAGCATCTCTACTTCGGTTTCACTGCATTTATCGCAGCGTCTGTCTTTGCGCTGACTGCTGTCACTGTTGTGGGGCTGGTGTTTGTGTGTAGACCATAAGCTCCGCAGTGTTGAGTGTCCTACTTGGCACAGTGCAGAAGCTCCTCAAACTGAATGAACGAATGAACGATCTGGTGAATCCTAGTGGGAGAGGCTTAGCATATAGTTATCGAAGTTTGAAAACCCACAGTCTGAGTGTCTGCCTCATTTATGTCTGTGTTTTCTGGTTTTATCCTGAGCACTTGCCCCAGAATCCCCATGACAGGTTTTATGTACTTTGCTATTGGACTATATCTGTGGGCAGCGGGACAGAGTGGGAGAGGGCAGCGAGGCTGGTGGGGAGCGGAGTGACAGAACTGGCGTGTGTTTGGGAAGAGCACTCTGTCTGTCTGCAGCGTGGAGAATTGACCGGGAGGAGAAGAGCTGGGGCAGAGAGCTACTGTGATGTCGCACCGTTGTCCATGGCGGGCTGGCATGGTGGGGCAGGGGCCGGGGCCTCTGTAGCCGAGTTGATGAGGTGAGTGGCCATGGCTCACCTGGATTGTGTCTTGCAGGATCCTGGAGCTGCAGGACACAGGGGACCTGGATGTTCTCAAGCAGAAGTGGTGGCCGCACATGGGCCGCTGTGACCTCACCAGCCACACCAGTGCCCAGGCCGATGGCAAATCCCTCAAGCTGCACAGCTTTGCCGGGGTCTTCTGCATCCTGGCCATTGGCCTCCTGCTGGCCTGCCTGGTGGCTGCCCTGGAGTTGTGGTGGAACAGCAACCGGTGCCACCAGGAGACCCCCAAGGAGGTCAGTACCCTGGGTCCTGCCTCTCCCTACTGAGGCCTGGCAGCAGGAGAGTCGCACTGGCCCGTTTAGCAGACAGTTCTCCTCCAGTTAGTATTTCCAGTGGGTCACCTTGTCTGGAGACAGCAGTGTTCTCTGCTGGGGGGTTCTGCCATTGTTTATTTTGTTTTTAAAGCAAGAGAGGAAACGCAGGGGATGTTTTCATGCTTGAACAAAGTGCCGAGGTGCCAGCCACAGCCACTAAAGTTCTGTATTTATCTGTAGAGCAGGTACAGCGTGGGCAGCTCCAGAGAGCCCTTCCCCACCCCGCCCTGCCCATGTGCCTCCACTCTGACCTGGAGAGACCACCTGTAGGGTAAGAGAGGAGCCCGCGTTCCTTCCCGATGGCCCTGCCCTCCCAGCGTGCGAGGGGATCCCTGCCCTCCCGTCATCCCTTCCTCCCCCCCTCCCTCCTCCTTGCGGGGCCCAGCCTTGCCCATGTCCCTCCTGGGCCCACCCAGCTTGGGGGACATAGTAGCTCTGTCCAGACTCTAGGCTCTGGGCGCACGTCCCTTCCTGTGTGTGACAGCCACAAGCTGACCTGCCCCTCAACAATCCCTTCTCATTGGGTTTTTTTTCGTCTTCAAGCTCATTTTTTATTTTTAATTTTTGAAATGAAGCCTTCACCAAGGGAGAGTGGCAAAGAGTGTCATTTGGGATGAGGCTTCGCCAGCAGAAGCCTCCACACAGGCACCCGCACAAGGCCAGCCACTCCGTCTGCAGGGCTGTCGCGCACACCTCAGCTGTGTCCAGCACAGCTCCACTTGCAGACTGTTGGTGCCGACAGACCCCAGTCTCCAACAGGAAGCAGTAAAGCAACCAGCACGAAATCAAAAACCCCTCACGGTAAAAAACAAACCAAGAGTAGTTTTTGATTTTTGTTGTTGTTTTTCTTTTGCC